TCCCTCCCTCCCTCCCTCCCACCCCCTTAGTTTTGCAGCAATGGAGCCACTGGGAAAAGTCATTTAGAAAAATGTTTTAGCATGGAGCCAGAGCATGGTAAATGCCTTCTTGTAGGCCAGATACGGGCTGCTCGCAACAGACTGCAGAGGGGGGGGAATCGACCCTTGCATTTAACTTTCTTGTATTTTGAGATAATTAATGTACAAATAAAATGGTTCCTTCTGTCTAGTGCCATACCCAAAAGCAGTCTGGGATCATGTAAGAAGCAGCAGGAGATAAGATCTGGTACTAGTGAGATGACATATTGGTACTTAACAGGGTATAACCTATTTCTTGATCCACAGGCGTGCCTGCACTCCCTTTCACAGCAAATATGCTTCTACTTCTTAGCAATCTATGCATCACTTGCACTGCAGCTAACTGGAACCGATTCAAATTAATAATCTTTAATAAACTAAGATGCAATTAGTACTGAATATGCAAAATATTTAAAAGGTTGTTTTTCATGCCTATTGCTAAAATTAATGTTTAGATTACAGGAAAGTTCTTCCCACTTTCTATTTTAAACAGTGATCAAACTTTGGCTTCCTGTGAAACTTTTGATTGAGGTTATGGGCTGGGGAGGGAAAAAAGTTAGTATACTATGTCATAATATGCAGGTAGCCTGTAATTTTTTTTTAGAACACTCTAGCATGATTTTACATGCAACGTACCCAATGCACTTTTTTCTTTTTATGTAAAAGCATTTGGATTTTTTAAATTTTGAGATCTGTGGGGGTAATGATTTGTGAGAGGCGTGGAAAAAAACCTGATCTGTGGCTCTTCTGAAGCCTCTTGGAAGGCTTGTATTTAGAGAAAAGAGGGTAAAGAGGGAGTAAGTACTATGTCCATACGTGTGAGGAAACAGCTCCTAAACACTCCCTTCAGCTTTCTGATGTCTGTAAGATTAGATTCCATTTTTCTAGTTTCTCTTGCTTTTATTCCTTACAGTGCCTTTTAATTTGCCAAGATTTACTTTAAGGCAGGATCAATCAATGTCTTAGTCTTGAAATAATCAGTCTACTGACAATGTGAAATGTTAAAGCAAAAGCCTGTTGAGATGGTATGGTCATACTGAAATACTGTGGTGGAATCCTCTCCTTAACTTTCATTTTTAAAGCAGCTGAAAGACATATGTACATACTATCAGCATCTTCTCAAGTGCATTTGTTCTACTACTCCCACACATAAAGTAGGGAGGGAGACCGTATTTTAAAACCATTACAAAGATATAACTATTGAATTTAGGTTGCCAGAGAGATCATTTAAGAAGGAAAACCACTGTGTCCCAACAATAAGACAATGGGGGATAGATAATTATCCAGAAGATAATTTTGTTCCCAAGAATTGTAAATCTCAGCTGCTTTTCCTTCCAAACCCAGCACCTTGGGGTATGAGATCTTATTACAATATATTCTCTACTGTGCATTCAAGCCAAAACACTAAAGTATAAGCTATCGCTTAAAAATGCATCTTGTTTTCTCAGTTCTTGGTGCTGGTAGGTTGCATAATTTCTAAGACAAAACTGAGAGGCTTTTTAAAAAAAACCCAGAACATAACACACACATAATGAAGTTGTAGTACCCAAGTCAGATTCTTATTTCCAGGGATGATGAGTCAAAATATTGAAGTAGCCTTCATGATGCTGCAGTTCATTCCTGGTTCTCCTTACTTAAGACTTTAACATCAGGCGAGGGACAGTGTGTTCCTTTTAAAGGTAAGGGTGTTCTTGAGGACTTAAGAATAAGATAAGGGGGTCTCTATCACAAACAGTAATTCAAAACGCTTAAACCCTCTTGAATCCTCACAGAAGTCCAGCATCAGAAATATTTTTAAATCTATGTTAACAGAGCTCTTTTTCTAGGAAGAAAAAGGATTTACCATGTTGTAATTTCTTTAGGATTATCTGAAAACTAATTGAGAAAAGGGGCAAGATTTTCCTGCCGCAGCCTACCCTTCTGGTTACAGCTTGCAAGCTATCCTGTTCTTCAGAGCACTTTGCTGTGCTTTTCTATTATTCTCAATCTCCTTTTTTCTCTCTCGACTGGAGCCCTGCCGAAAGGCTGCAGACAAGCAATGCCTCTTTCTCCTTTAACCTCCAGTTGAACCAGGGATGTGAATCTGACAAACTGAAGCAGCGTTCTCATCCTGCTTCAAGTGGGTCAGCTTTTTTGAGAAGGGCAAAGTGAAAATAGTTTTTCAAAATCCAAACACTGCAAAAACAAAGAAAAGAATGGATTACATAGTATCTGGTTATCTGCAAAATGTGATGATGTTTTCTTTTCCATTTAGCACATGTTTTTAGCTGCTGACAGCTGGAAAAAGCTAGAACCAAGGCAATAGGAAGACAATTCTGATATCCATAGCTCCAGCCATGGCCTCTATAGCAATACATAAACTCAATCTCCCAGCTGAGTCCCCGTTAAGAAAGCTGCACCTGAGTGATAAGTCTCTGTTACTGTTCCTGCTGCAAGTACTTGGAAGAGGATTTCCACTGGTTAATGAGCTATGAAATAGCAGTTTAGTTACTTTATCCACATCTGCCTTGCCAACAAGCAGAGTTATCCTCTATGTGACCTCTAAAATTAGTTGTTTTTCTTAAAAAAAAAACAACCAAAACACCCAAAAACCAAAAAACCCACAACAAAACAAAAAAACAAAAACACCCCAAAACCCCCAAACCTAAAACCACTAGAAATTATCTGAGCAAAACTCATCCTCATGAAAATCTGCCTGTCAAGTTTGCGGGGAAAGTATCCTCTATTAGAAGATTCTTGTAGGCAGTGCTTAATATATGATATGCAGGGAAGATAGCCATTAACCTACCATGCTGCTTTCTCTTTCTCTTTTTTTTTAAGTAGGATTTAACAGCCTACAGCACAAGATTCTTAGTTACATGGAAGCATGGGCTACTGAGGATAAAATATTTTATCAGTAGAGGCAACACAGCTGTCAATTCCTGGAGAACTTAATTATTCTCTGCTATTCTTTGAGTCTTGCTGTCCTTACAAATTTCTTTTTCAGTAACTTAATCTCTCCCATCCTGAAATACCAACATGTACTGTGATCTCAGGTTTCAGTCAAAGCAGCTATTTTCTTTCCTATGGCACAGTAATAAGGCTTTGATATAGCTTCACTGGAAAAAATCAGAATGTTTTTAGTAAAAGATTGAAGAAATGGGAATTTTAGGTTCCTTATTTCCTTATTTACATGGAAGATGGTTTCTACGTAGTTCTGGGAGAGATGGGTCCTTACAGAAGCCAGTGAATCCATGCTTATCCAGAGCCTGGGTAACCAAGAGTGGACACTCAGTGTTCATAGACAGAGGAGGATCTATCCAATTAGAGGATGCTTTTTTGGGAAGACTTGTGTGAAACTTGCAGTTCAAGGCTATGATATTACAAGGGAAAGATAATGAATAAAGGATTTTATTGGCTTCTCTCTCTTCTCCCACATAGCAAAGGAAATTAAATGTGTGTGTACATGGGTACATAGATATGTGTGTGCACTGAAAATAATACACAGCTGAGCTGTGACAGTGACTTGTTTCACAAAAAATTACAGTTAAACACCCAATGAGTTTTGAGAGAAGGTTTTAAGAGGATTACCATCTCAGAAAGATTACAGTAAGGTAGCTGAATTAATTGTCTGGTTTGAGATCTACAAGTTAAACAAAAGCATACCAATATGTTTATTTCATTATGAGACCAGCTGAAGCAATCTGAAACTTTCAAGACTTGCCTGTTTTATTATTCATGTAGTTATCTTTATTGCACAATAAGATAGTTTGACAAATGAAAGTCCAAAACCTGGTATAACTGATGCTACAATACTGGTGCACTCTGCTGCATGCAATGATGCTAACATTATGGAATAAATCCACTTTAAATGCTCCAAGGATATAAGCCCTTTGTCCTGCAGCCAGAGGTACAAATATTTAACAATATACCAGCATTTGGAAAAGTTCCACTGCCACCTGCTTATGTAAAATGAGCTGTGTATGACAGAAACAGGTTCCCAGTATGTTATAATTATTAAATGATTTGCTTTTACTGTTTTGGAAGCCAGCAGCATCCTCCCACTAAGGAATGTGGAGCATAGCCCACAAAGTATTTGTCCTGTCCTACCTCTAACATTGCTTAAGTTGGGGGAGGGAGGGAAGGAAGGAAAAGCTTAACTTTCTCCAACTGTTCATACACTCCTGCAAGACAACAAATGCAAAGCTACAACCATATGTTAAGATGATGTCTTTAAGTCTGTTTATATTGATTTCTAGAACACATAAGGCAACCAAATTAAAAACATTTTCTCCAAGAAATTTGATCTGAATAACGAACCCTATACGATCACAGATTTAAAGCAAGTGCAAGAGATATATGCAGGAGGTCCTTCAGAGAAGTGTCACGAGTCCCATGAGTTGTGGTTCATTTACTTTTGGTTTCTTGGTTGTGAGGCCATGTACAGTGCTACTAGACAGTAGATAGTCCCGCCTATTGTTAGAGCCATAGTGGTCCGATAAAGCAGCTTATCTGGAACTCCTCGTTTCAGGTGTACTGGCAGTCCATCTGCTTTCTGTGGGAAGAGGTTAAAAAGAAAACAAAACAAGAAATGAACACCCATACCGAGGCCACAAGGAACAATCTACCTCAGGTAAATCAAGAGACTTCCATGAGGGAAGCCTCCTGACAAACAGGCTATCTACAATCAAGTGTATTATGTGTTTTTCATTTAGCAAGACAAATGCAAAGGCAAGTTAATTTTATTAGCCAAAGCTGTTAAGTGCAGGCAGAAAGAACGTATCTTGAAATGTTTCTAAAGAGGACCTGGATGGGAAAAGTGCTACTAACGGAAAAATGTGAAAAGATATGTATAAAAGGTTATTCACCAAGTCAGACTGACACATTCCAAATGCAAGTGGCATGTAAGAGAGAAAAAGGTACATTATACAAAGCATATTCTTGACACTTTAAAAAAATGCTTAATTGATTTGTTTTATGAAAAGTCCTAGCACACTTAGAAATTGCATAGCTAACAAACTGGCTTTGAAAACTTTACTGTGCTCTTCTTACCCTGCATTATAAACAGCTTCAGTAATATTCAAATTATTATACTCAAAACAGTAATGATCTGCTTTACTCCTCCAGATCAGCTTTAAGGCATACACTTGGATTCCCAGACAGAGAGTGCTTCCAATAGTCAAATAATACAATAAGCATCTTCTGAAGCCAGTGAAAAGACAGACAATGTTACTAGACTTTCCCCTTTCTGCATTTATCTCCTATACAAGGCATATATACCTTCTAATATAGTAAAAGTATACAGGTTATACTGTACTTGACACTTTCTTAACTAGACTTTACAAAATTTTGGTATTGTAGAATGACAAAAGTAGTCAGCCACATTAAAATAAGGAAAGATATGTCCCATTCTCCAGTTTTCTTTAAGTTACTCTCAAAGTTGTCATTACCTGAAAAAGTTTCTGTAGGTCTGGCACCTTGTTTTTACCCAAGAAAGAATCAGTTGCTGGTATATCTGAAGCAAGTTTAGTTGTTGTCCCAAAAATCAGAGCTGGGGATTCAGTGGAAACTATTGGTTTGAGTCCCTGCATAAATAAAGATTAAAATATCAAGGTACATAACACTTGCAAATGTACCGGTTGTCACGTTAGGCAGGCATGCTGCCAGTCATTACGAGGATACATTACAAAGAATATTTATCTGGTATGAAGACCTGTGACAATGAGCTAAAGACATATTGTTCGCCCACTCGCTTCTCAGCTACAACTTTCGGTCAGGGCTTAGCAAGGAGAACAGAAGCCTCCTTTCGGCTTTCTTTGTGACATAAATTGATAGCTATATCGTAAGATTTTCTGTGCTGGTACTTGTTTGAAATTGCTGCTTGTTTTTCACACGTAGTCAGACTATCTAGGGCTCTATCTGAGTAACAGGATTAGAAGCAGGGAATCCCTGATGCTTGGGTCAAAGAGAGTGAGGAGACTTCAATGAACTCTTCCTCCTGAATGCTGCAAGCAGTGGCCATAAATAACTGGGCCTTAAATAACTTGGATGTGTAACTTGAATGCAGGGGGGTGGGTGGGGTGGATTGGGAAGAGTTAAGGCCACTTGTTTCATAGAAAAGTAGTAAGTGGTGCTCAAGGACACTGCAGAAGCCCTGACACTGGATATTTTATGCAAGGGTAACTACACCCTATAATTCACATGCTGCTGCAGCTTTCCGCCCCTCATTGTACTCCCCATGAGCATCATAACTTAATTTTCTTTCAGTTCAGACAATTGTACTCTACATTTGCCATAATTAAAAACTACACAATCCAATTCTATGAATAAAATTAAGTGCACAAAATCACAGCCATCATGAGGTGGCCTCCTTGCCTTTATTATTAGAGTTACATTTAACAGTTATGCCTGGACACATAGCAGTGATGTTTTACATTCTGGCTCCTGAAACAGCTGTAACTTTTTTTTTTTCCCTAACTTGTCACAAAAATTAAAAGAATTGTACAAGTAGGTTAATGCAACAGGTTTTCATTACAAACAGAAGCAGCAATTGCTCTCCATGGGTCAAGTTAAGGCTGCACTGAAATTCTAGTTTCTGTTCAAAGGTATAGTTGATGCATTTTGTATTTAAGAGAACTGCTGGAACAATGTTTGGAGCCGGAAGCAGACTGGCACTCTCTTTCTCTTATACTGGCCATAGACCAGACATATTTTTTCCATACATAAATTCTCTGCTACAACAGGCATCTTCAACAGAAAGACCAGATTTCTCAACATGCCAAAATAGCTTATGGAATGGTCATCAGGGCTCCATCCTGAAGACATGGGTCCAGCTTCTCACTTTTCTAGTTCCTGAATAAATATTAGAATCCCTTGTGACCTTCTTGGTTAAGTTTTGAAAGACAGCAGCCAAAACTGGATTCTCTGACACGTTCAGCAACTAGTGCCTTCCTACCGAACAGGCTTGTGCAGAAGTTAAGTACTGAATTATTTAAGACTAAGCTGTTCTGGTCACACCAGTAAGAAGAAAGCATCTAAGAAACTATTGTTAGCCAAGGGAAGTTACTGGTTATATATTCAAGGGGTAAGTACCAGCTATGTCCAAATACTTGAAGAAAGCAATTTTGGACCAGTATTTTTGTCCATAAGAACTTTAAGTGCTTTATTAGATTTGTCTTTAAAAGCTGGGTGATTTGATAGAAAGAACTACAGAACAGATGTTTATACCACATGTGCAGCTGACTTTTTCTCCAAAACTTTTCTTGCTTACTTGATTGTTAGTACCGCAGCAATGTGCATCTTTCATCTTGAATTCTGTCTATGAATTGTGAATCTTACGGTCCGCTCCAGCCAAGCTCAGCTAAATTAGTGTAACCACGTGGCTGTTCCAACTGGGTTCTTGTCTGTCTTTATTGAGAGAAAGTGGCAAGTGGTTTGTCTCACACCCAGCTGCTCACTAAGCTTAGCGTGGCTGAAGAGAAATCCTCAGTATTACGCATAAGAATTTCAATACAGATCATTTTTAAAGCAAGTCATTAGGACACCCTAAATGACCCTTAATTGTCAACTTGTATTTAACATGACTAAAACTGCAGGCTTATTTAAGAACATCAGTGTCTCACTACACTCAAGATACTACTGGGGAATGAATGCCTCTAAACGTTTGACCTATGCTTCATGAGAAAATGTTTCACACAGATAATTCCTCTTCTGATATTAAGGTGTTGATCTTTTATTCCTAATCACATTGTCTAAGAATTGGAACAAATTCCTGTTAAAGTGCAGCATATCTACTTGTGCAGAAGAGTCAACATCTGCTGATTTCATCAGCATGCTACAGCAATTACTTTGTCAAAGTCCTCAATGAAAGGTCAGGACATGTAGCTAATCCAAAACAACAAACGAAATTCTCTGCCTACCCCTCTGTAAAGTGTGTTTGTTTTCCTGTCAGAGGTCTGAAGGTCTTAAGACCCAATCAATCTGTTGGCTGGCCAACATGCTCAAAGTTAAAACAAACTTATGCCTTGCTATAGCATGAATTCCCAAGCTAGAGTTACATTTTCCTGACAGCACAAAACAATTAAGGATTTGGAGCACAATTTAATGGAGATAGCACCACACTTAAGTTCTTAAATGTTAGGGGAATTGCTCAAACAGAGAATGAGACAGTAGAGAAAACTGAGGTAAGGACCAAAACGAAAAGAGGAAACGGGAAAGTTAAGCTGACAATTATTATTTCAGAACATGCACTGAAGTAACTTTTATGAACTTGCTGAACCTAGACACTTCTAACCTAAAGAGCAGGTCCTTAATAGCAGAACATATCTCATTGTATGAGGTTAAATATATTTGCTACCACGAACACAAGGATGCTTTTAGGTAGGATCACTTGAGGCTCTGTTTGTATTGGGATGACATGCATAAGTAAAAGTGATTTTGTGTACATTTCAGGTATCATCTACAGCATAAAAGGTTAACCATTGTAGTTTCTCAACAAACTTCAAGCAATTTATAACAGCTAAAATAGAAGATCTGTGGTTTGTGGAGCTTCTGAATAGCTACAAGCAAAATAAGTTGTATCAAGTAAAGATAATGGTAGTACAACTAAATTTCTACTAGGCTCATGGTCAGCCTTGAAGAACTAGAGAAAAGTTCATATAGTCGTCTGATGGCATTTGCAACTGGTCCCACTATTTGTACTTTAAACATAAGCCAACTCTTTGAATTAATATTTTTTATTGTATCTGTAATGGTTATGGCAGTCATTATCCTCTTAAAATATGAGTAGCAGTTTTCAATCCATTTGACTTTTCACCTGCACTAGCTGACAAAGTTACTGTTCATTCAAACAGGTTAAATTGTTCATACTACTTTATGTAACTTTGTTAAATGCCAAATTAAGTCTTCTAAGAATGCTAAGACTGAGGTGGAAAGAACAACATAGGTTTCAAACTAAGAGATATTTTTTGTTAGTATAAGCTGTTAGTTATGTCACTGTCAGCAAACGAATTTCTGAAATACATTTTGACTGGTATTTTGCAAGCCCACAATAAGCTTAAACTTGCATCAGAACAAAACTCCATTGGGAAACACCAGAATGTAACACTACAGAATAGAGTGAAGTATTACACTGCATATTTGACCAAGCAGAATTTGAATCGCAGGATGTCTTCATTTTTCCAGAAACATCACGACAAATAGAAACATAAAAAGCAAATCATTTTACATGCTCAGCAATGAAATCAATAGGAAAAAATTCACTTCATTTTGGATTTAACATCTACTTACTCACGTGATTCCTTTCATATTTTAATCTCTAATTATTGCAAACAATTCTATCATCAGTCTTATGTGTCTGAATGTGTTGCCTGGGAGTAGAGTCAAACTGAAAGAAAAAAAATTCTACCAAAAAGCTGGCCTAAGAATATTGTAAAAAAGAGATTGAAGGTAACGTTTTAAAATGTAGCTATTCTATTGCATAGCACGTTTGCACGCCACAGTTGAGGACTAAGTTGTGTGAATGGTGAGCCAAACACAAAAGATAGTGTTTCTCTCATCAATATGAAAAACCCCCACATTTATAAAGCGAGACAGTATTCGTAAGACTTATGTGAAATCTCCTGCTTGGATACAATCTCATCTTCTCAACTATGTTCTCTCAAAAATTAGGTTTTAAACATTTCAGTGATGGCACCAAAATGAAATACAATGACCTATGATGACCAGAAAAGAAATCACTACAATGTTCTAGAAGAAGAGTATTTCTATTCCTTGGACATTCTCTTTCCTGCTTTGCAGAACAGACATATCTAGACTTGGTTTTGGTTTTTTTCTATCTGCAATGATACCTAGACATGAAGCTAGTTTTGCACAGGCCCTTTACGAACCAATTTTGATACAATACTACAGCATTTTAATCTAGATGATGTCAAGAATTCAGAATTTATTGGGTCTTTCTGTGTCTAGTGCAATGATATTCATACCTACCTAATACTCATTAACAGAATATGGGATAACAGAGAGTTCTGTATTCCCCTCTTATTTTGCTTCTGCCTTTTTAATCCCTAACAAAGAAAGATGTACTTAAAATGGGATGATCGTTATGTGATGGGGGGACTCTGCTGAACAGAAAGGTAAGCAATACTCCACAACCTGGGCTCCAGAAGCCAAGAGTGTTGTCTTCAGGACAACTTTGGTTATCCAGGTGGTTATCAGAGCTTTCTGCATTTCTGTGTTGGGGCTTTTCTCTTAGGATTCTAAAGGATGCGTAATTTGCAGAAAAATAGTCACAATGACCTAGAGACTAATACATGGTGTTCCAAGCTATACTCTTCCAGGAAGGAGGTACTTTCCTGCCTGGGCTTGAAGTCCTTCCCCCCCTTCCATGGTTAACCCTAGCCTTTGCTTTTCTGTACATGAATGAAGAGCCAATTAATATATTTGAATATAACTTTGTGTAGAAGAGATAAGAAGTCCCTGAAACACTGCAATAGTGGTGTTTCCTAGCATGGGTGCCTGTTGGACATACTCTTAATGAACAGACATACTTTTAGACTAAAACATGTTATTTAATCTCCTGTTTTCCCTGTGC